GCAGTTGACCTATATTTTCTATCCTTAAAGAATAAAGCAAAAAATAATTCCATTTATCAAGTAAATACATTAAACTTTTCCACATTCTAGCTAAAAAATGGCAAAGATCTGAATTTAGAGGTATTTAATTGTGTGCCCCAAGCTCTTTTCACTAGTAAGTGAAAGTATTTCAATTCTTTCACAAATTGACTACAAGAAATGCATTGATTATTATTATTTTAATTTCAGAAAACATAAAAAGGCAATGCTCAGGCTTCCTTGACTTTTCAGGGCCGATCTTCATTTCAACAAGAAGATGAAAGTCCTTACCAAGTTATGTGCTCTGTTGACATTTGATCCAAAGACACAGGGATGAATCAGAGTACACAACAGAAGAAGCTATCTTCCTTTAAGAATCTAACACATTAAACTGAACACATGTATAGTCAAGATCCATATCAAAATCAGCATACTTATGAAAAACTTGACAAGAAAGCGTCACATCCATTAGTTGAAGGACCGCTTTTTGTTTCCGTATCTTAGCTATTGTGGATAGTGCTCGACTGAACGTGGGAGTGTAGATGTCATTGGACATAATGATTTCATTCCTTTGCAAATGTATCCTGCTCTAACATTGCTGGGTCTTGTAGTAATTCTTTATTTGTAATTTTTGAGGCATCTCCATGTTGTTATACATAATAGGTGCCTAACTTACATTCTTACCATTACCAACACACTTTAAGTCTTCTCCATTGTAGCCTTTCTTAGTACAGTAAAGTAACACATCAGTGTGGCTTTGATTTTCAGTCCCCAGATTATTAGTGATGTTGAGCACTTTTTCATATGCTCATTGGCCATTTATATATCTTCTTTTGTGAGATATCTATTTAGGACTACTGCTCATTTTTAGCTAGATGGCTTTGTTTGTCTCATTTTGGGTATTTTGCTGTTTAATATGTGCAATGCCTTAAATATTGCATATATCAATCCCTATCAGATTTGTGGTTCACAATCCTGTTTTCTTATTCCATGAATTGTCTCTTCACTCTATTGTTTTCTTGCTTGTACAGAGCCTTTTTAACATACTTAATTCCATTTGTAGTGTTTATTAACTGATGAATGTGTAAAGGAAAATTGGCACATACAACATAATGGAATACTATACAGTCATAAACAAATGGAATTGTGTCATTTGCAACAAGATGGACGTACCTGGCGATGATTCTGTGCAGTGAAATAAGCCATGCACACAACAAAAAGTACCCCATGAAGGGAAGAGGGTGATGGAGAGAAGCTGATCAGTGGGTATTAAGCTATATAGGACTAAGAAGCTCAGTATGCCACTGCAGAGTAAGTCACGTGAACTGTAATTATATACTAACAATTCAAAAAACTAAAAGAAAGGATCTTGAATGTTTTTACCACAATGAATAACTATTTAAGGAAATGGTATGTTTCACTTGTACTCCCTTGAAACATCATGCTCTACCTCATTCATATGTGTAAGTTTTTGTAGTCATTATTGTTTCTTGAGGCAGAATCTTCCTCTGGAGCTCAGATTGGCCTTGAACTCACTATGGATGTCAGGCTGGCCTCCAACTCAAACTTTTTGCTCCTGCCTCCTAAATGATGGGATTATAGATGCATATCACCACTCCCAGCATATAATTGTTGTATTTTTATGAATCAGTTAAAATAAATTTAAAAAGAATGAATTACACTTGCTGGAGTTTTTTAAGGTAGTTTTCTGGTATCTGAATTTGAAAATATTTTCTTTCATTGCTATTTTTATAAGCATAATGATAGAGAATAAATTATTTTATGTCTGAAGAGGCTAGAAAAAGAAGAGATGATGTGGGTCTCCTAAAGTACTGGTTCAAATTATGAGGACTCCACTACAACAAAGTCTGTAAAACCATTTGACCACAATCTGGAGAAGTCATTTTATTCCAACAGCTTTCCATGGTCTGGAAAAGCAAAAAAATACCACTCTGATGAATTACATCCAGGAATTAAGTGAATCGATACATCTTCCAGACTCCTTACATTTTCCCACAAAATAATTAAACAATTGCAATTTCAAAGTTTCTACTTCCTTGCTTGGAAATAACCGTTTACAATTTTTGATCTGAAACTTTACTAAAAAGCCTCTTCATGGAAAGAAAATAGACAAACACTGTCATAAGAATGTTTGCTTGCATTAAACAGTGTTTAGATTACAAGACGACAAAGGATTTATGTTCTTCCATATCTCAGTTCCTACAAAAAGCTCTGGTAAGAGGATGGAACTTAGTATTCAAGTGTTGCCCTGCCGTGATGAGGCCCCGGTTTGGTTTGATCCTCAGTAGGACATAAAATAAATAAATAAAATCTCTGGCAAGCATACAAGATTACAACATTAGCCACTTATTGGATAATAATTAATACTTTGCAAACCAAAATGCATTGCATTTTATCTTTATTTGAACAATTTCAGCTTCGCGTTCAGGTAATACAAAATAAGCAACCTGGACTTTGTTAGGAATGAGGTTGCTCATCTTTTTTCCTTTCTTTCTTTCTCTGTTCCTCTCATCTTGTACCCACTTAATCATTGTATAACCAAGGTACACATTGGGCTGTACTGAGCCAGGGACCTTCTCATGTAATGGAATCTCTAAGACTGAAAATGATTGTTCTTCAAAGGAAGAGGCCAGACTTTGAAGAGCTGGCCAAGCTCTTACTGCGACCAAAAGTTTGACAGCTGTTAAAAGTGTGAATAAAGCTAGTTTGTATCTTTAAAGATAATTTCTCATCATTCTAAAGAATGTATTTTCTGCCTTAAAATATATCATTAAAAACTGTATAGCATATTTAACTTTTCATGTCCAAATTACTCAAAATACTTCGTTTGAACCATTATTGCTTATTAAAAAACTTATCTTGAAGAAATGTGGTCTCAAGAAACAAATCATTATTATAATTTTAGCTAATTTCTTAGCATTTAGTAGTCAGTAAGTTTATCTGTATAGGAGAAATGATGTACATTTTGATCACATAGAAAAAATGCAGAAAAAATAGCTTTGGCATCTATAAACAAAATAAATACATAAGAATAACAAAATTTGTATCTGGAGACCCCCAAAGTCATGAATTTGATATGTCTTTGGAACACATTTTTCTGTTAACTTTTGAACAATAGATTTGTGCCCTTTGCATGATAAAGGATTAGAAACCTGGCCTTTGCTTTTATCTGAGTCAAGCTTTATTAACTGCTTGTCATGGAAACAAAATAAAAATATATTTAAAGGAAATATAACTTATGTAAACTGACCAACTACTCCTCAAAAACAATAGCCCTTCAGTTTTTGGTATTACATATCCTGGGAGTATTAACAAATTCTTCCAACCCTGTTCTCAGAGATAAAGTGAAATTTAACCTGTATCACATTTCATAGGATATTGGTCATGACTGCAGTAACATCAGAAAAGACTGTCCCTAGTTTATCCATCAAATGATGACTCTACCTTTCAATTTTTTTCAGCCACGTTACCTTACTGCTCAAGCAAGACAGGTTATCTCTAGATACTTCTAAAAGTTTTTGGAAAATCTTATAGTAATCCAATCTCTACCATGCTGAATATGTAATTAGAAAGGGAATAGTCTTCAGTATTGGAGTATGAGATTCACAAGACTAGGAATCCTACTGGTCTTCTTCATCTCTTCTGAGCATTCAGAAATTTACTCATAGTGAGCTTTCAGTCTATGGAATGAATGAATGAATGAATGAATGAATGAATGAATGAAATCCTGTGTAATTACCTTTTAGTCTTTTGAAGGTTGTTTTAGTGTTTTTAATGGCTAGGTAGCATATATCATCTTTGAAGAAATTGACTTCAGCTGTTACCATCAAGCATGGTTTATGTTTGTTTGACTTTCTCTCTTTGGTTTATTCCAACTAGAAAATATAGCTGCAAATATTTTCTGCAAAATATTGTTAGCAGAGATGTCCTGAGTAGATACAGGAGTTCTGACAGAAATGCCTTAGGGCAACACCCTCCTTCCAGAAGGGCATGCACATGGAAGAATCATCAGATGAGGATTTCTTTACACTCTTTGATTTTTCAGCAAGAAAAATATGACAAAAATAAAGGAATGTAAATCAGCTGCCACGTAAACTAAGTTCATTTCCCTTTGGCCTGTCCACTGGGCCTTCAAACCTTCCAAAGATTTCTCTTAAGAGTGTTGGTCTCGGAGTTTCCAGGCCAAATTTTTGTTAAAAGAGAATAAATTAAACTCTCTTCAGAGTATTTGACTAAAGATATATGCTCCAACATTATATAGAATATTTATACTAGACTTTAGTTACCAGTATTTCCTTTGGAACTTTTTAAAGAATATAAACAACACTATTACCAAATGCCAAAGGTAACAGCAAAACAAATATCCAGAGATTAAGGGTGTATCTTCATACTTAGAAGATAAAATGTGTTTGTTTGTTTTTTGGGGTTGTGTATACATGTGTGTGAACTTTACCTTGCTTCTGATAACTTTGCATACTTTACAATTCAGTAATGTTCAAACTTTTTATCTGGAGTGAAGAGAAAAGACATTGTCCAGATTTTCTTAATAGTTAAGATTTCATGAAAATAAAACATATAATTAAAATAAATCATTATTTTGAAATTATAGAACGCATGACATTGTGTCATTGTGTTGTTGTTGCTTCTGTATTTTGATTTGCTTTGTTTGCAGAAGGAAGCATCATGAAGCTCGGAAAGATTTTTCAGAAAGTGATGTATCCAAGATAACAAAACTATAGCTGCTTGACTTTGAAAAGGGGAAAAAAAGAAGCAAACGCGTCCTAAAGTAAAAGCTACTTCTGTTTCTATCTTCTGCTTCCTTAACTCCTCATTAGGTGGCACTGTCTCTCGACTTTGGAGCTGCAAAGATTAAAACTACTAAAAAGTACTAACATGTGAGAGAAGCCAGTCCCATGAATAAGACAAACAGGGCAGGCAAGCAGCGCCTACACCCCACTTACCCAAATCAGAACACTGAACAACTCGAAGGTGACATTGACAGCGGAATGGACACACAGGTCCCGGGCCGGACAGCTCTGGAAACTCAGGAGATGCGCGCTCTTCCGGGCCAATCCCAGAGGCCTCATCTTCAAGCATAAAGTCAAATAAGCCTCTCTGTTCAAAGGGTCCAGCCCAAGAAACTTGTGCAAGCAGGAGAAAAATGATGGTTGCCTTCATGGTTTAGCTCGTATATTTTCACAACCTGGGAACCTGGGAAACATGAAAAGTTTAGGAAGAGTAGTGCTGCCATGGACACAGTCGTTTTTTCCATCTCACCCCTAGGAAGCAAGCATAGGGCTAAATAGAAAAGCAGCATTGACTCTGATGAAGCAGTGAGTTTAGCAATGCATTTGAAAGGTGATAAGGTGATGCTTATTTACTTACGCAGAGAAATTTAAATATTATTTAAATCTGTTCAAATTTGGAGTCTAAATGAAGCTGATAGAGTTTATATTCAATAGTATGCACATTATTTCCATGACAAGAAATCGTTTTGAACTTTTTTATGCTCATTCAACCTAAGTCAAATTCCATCTACACACAGGGTCTCCAATACCGACTTCAAATGCATCTATAGAAGCAAAGCCATTCCTCCATGTTAGTATTTTTCTTGGACTAGGCCTTCATATCATTCTCTGAATATCATAAAAGCTTCCTCACTTCCCCCGTGAAGGCTTCCTCTCTTCCAAGTCATCTTCCACTCTACTGCCTTAATGACCTTTTAACAGATGAAATTTCATCCCATTAATTTCTACTGAAAGCACTTTGTTGATTTCCCAGGGTTGGCCAATATGGTCCCCCATCTCTGTGCTCTGTGGAAGGCCACGTGTAATTCACTGCCGACTAATATTTCTAGCCATATCTCTCTCCATTTTTTATCTACCACCAAATCTCACCTCAACCTAATATGCAAAGTTACTTGCCATTTTAGAGCACCTACCTTGTAAGAAAACCGAAGGACTAAATGAGATGATAGATTCTCCTGCTTTTCCTGGCTCACCCAGCAAGATGCTGCTCTCTCTGTTCTGTGCTCCCAAAGCACGTTGCTTTTAACTTTTTAAAGAACTTATCACATTATATTATAATTTGTTTTGCGTGCTTGGTCTGTCCTCCGACCCCCCATTAGACAATGTACTCCTCCAGGGCGTGTCTTATTATTCCTTGTTGTGTACTCGGGCCTTGCACAATATTGTACACACAAATGACTCAGTGGACCATCAGTTTATTAGTAATAAAATTTATTCCATATGTTTCAAGACACCATTCAGTTTCAGATTTTAAGAAATGCAATATTCTATTTTTGTTCTAAATTTCTAACATAAGAAGGTTGTCATGTGGAAAACTTCAATTTGCTATCAGTAAGTTTCACATTTAAAAGTAAATCTATTAGCTAGCATTCCAAAATTGGTTATCTTTTGTGAGTCAATAAATTCAAATGGAAAACTCTAAATAATACTTGTATGTGTTACCTCACTTTACTAGGGATCATTTGTAAACCACAAATACATTTTAAAAAAGTACAAGTTTGATAAATTCACTCATTTGAAAAGCAACACATTATTAAACTGGCTGATGTGAACTAAACTCTGAATAACAAGTCAAATAACAAAAAGTACTATAGTTGACATATGGAGAACAGGAAGTCCATTTTTAAGAGGAAATGTCTTAAAATCCCTTTGAGGGTCTTTTAAGTGTTCCTAAAGCAAACTGCATAATCTCTGCTTTGAACTGAACAATTATAAGAATCTGTATTAAAGCTGTATATTCATAATTACAGTTAAATAGCTTGATTCAGATTATCTAATAGTGGCAGAGGAAAAAAAGCAAAACAGAAAACACAAGAAATCCTTTCATGGGTAAACTGAGTGTATTCTCTAAAAGTTTTTGCCAGTAAAGAAAAATCAAATGTTTTCAATTACCTACACCTTTGTTCTTACTTAGCATTTAGTAGTGAAGTATATTTAAAGCAGTCACCCAATAGAGACTTGTGGTTCTGCACTTGAAATATAACCATACAAAATATTGTGCACACAGTTACTCTAAGCTCAGTACTGTTTTCTCTAAGAGCCATCTCTCCACAGATAACTTATTCTTTAAGGGGATACTATTGTTTTGGCAGGGCATTTGCTTGGAGTGATCTAAAGGGAGGTTTTCTATCTGTTTCACATTAAAATGCAATGTTTACGGTTTGCCACAAGTTTGCAAGCCTTGCATATTTAATGCCTTACAGTTTTAGAAGAAAGATCAATCAAAGTAATTGCAGATTTAATAAATAGCAACAAAAGTTAATGCAGATGCTGCTTTTTAATACTTTCTGCAGCATAGAAAATGCCTGGTTGTTTTACTAACAGCCCAAACAAGGACGTGTTCAGAGAAACAGTGTCATCATTTTTCTGTTTACTTTTGGTAAATAGTGGAAACTCTCTGCACAAAATTTTTGAAAGAAGTTGAATTCAGTTACACAGCTTGCAGTTTGAATTACTTATTTTTATATTACTTGCATTTGCTTGTTTTTGAGTATTTGTGTGTGCATGCATTTTAACTCTGGATGTCCTAAAGAACTTTTGCTTTTCAAATTCTTCTAATAAATAATTTCTTTTACATTATATTAGAGTCTTGCTACTTGTGAAGACTCAGCATCTTAAAGCAATCTTGGTGAGCTGTGGTTACTTATGATTTCTTCAATCAACTCTTTCCCTCCTTAGAAAATCACAAAAGAAATAAAGAGCAAACAGTAATTCCCTCTACAAAGTAAGGAGACTGTTCCTGAGATGATATGCTTTTTAAACATCATTAAAATTAAGCATTTTCAAAATGTATGTGATGTTAGATTCCAGTTAACTTCAGTCATGCTAGCTGCCGTGGTTTGTCAATGTTTTATCCAAAGTAACATTCTCCAGCTCTCCCCTCCCCCAGAATTGTTTCTGTCCATTCAATTAACTATATCATTCGGATTAACATTTGTGTAGTGTCATTTACGCCTTTCCTATGACTTTTCAAGCTAAATTTAACCCTCAAGAGATAAGTAAAACTGTAAGTGCAAAGTCAAATTAAAATCTTCCAGCACTGGGTGAATTCAAAACTCCAATAATAGCCTAAATAATAAAAGCAGCGTAGATCCATAAGTAAGAGCTACTATAAAAAACATTTGGTTTCTTTTCCTGGGAAAAGAAGCAACAGGAAGAGAAAGCCACAGGCATTTACATCACTGGGAGCCACTTGGGCAGCCGTCATCGGGTTACCCTTTTTTAAAAAATTAGAACAAAAATCAACCCACAATCTCATTTCACAGGGAAAGTACCTTATAATAAAATTTCACAAAGCTGATAAGGAAACCTCTTTATATTCCAGGAATTATATCCTTAAGATAATATATATTTTCAATGTTTACTTTCATCACTCCGGTAATAATGTTCATTCATTGCTGGGGTTACAGTAATATACATTATCTCTGCAGCCTATCAGCAAAGTTCACTTCTGTGAAGTTTGAAAAGCTGATAAAGGATACAAGAATTCAGGAAGAAAATAATCCTTGCACATATAATCTAACTACGAATAATACATTAGTTTAGAATACTTTTCTGTTAACACTTCATAAAGAGCTAAGCGATTCATTAGTAGGAATACAAAGCATCAGTATAGAGAGTCATGGTGTTAGGTTACAGTTTTTTTTTTAATAAGAATCTTTTTCAAGAACCGAAGACAAAAACTCAAAGCAACGCATTCAATAAATTTACCAAACATTTTACATCTGTTTTTAAGCAGTATTTGTTAAAATGTTGCATAAAGGCTATTAAAAGTTTAGCAGGAATTTGTTCTTTCCTTTCTCTCACCAAATATTTCCTTTTGCTCTCCACTTGAACGAAGTTTTATTAATCTGTAGTAGTACAGTTCAGGACAATTATACAAAACCATACCTTTTAATCCGGGTTTTTGCCACAGGAGCCCTCAAAGCTGAGATGTAATTACACTAAATATTCAGCCCAAGCAAAAGAGTTTGCAGGTGTGGAAAGAAGGAGGGGTAGAGTCTGCTGTTACTGTCACTAGGTTGAAAACCTCCTGCTTCTACTCCATAGCACAGTTAAAAAATAAGGTTTCCCTCAATGAACACAATCCGGCTGACACCCACATTAGATCATATGGTAATGATATGTCTCTTGTATTGTAGCCAGAAACTTTATCGGTCTTTTTTTTTCCCTGCACATTTGTTTTATTCCTTTTGCATCTGTTTAAGGTTCTAAGCTGCTTTTGTAGCTTTTGACTTGAAATTTGTTTTATTGTTGATTCTTTCCCTGAAATATTTTAACGAGGCTGTTTCCCCACCCCCAACACCATTCCACTAACCACGTTTTCTAGCTTTATTATAATAAACTTATTCTACTTCTGAAAGGATGATTTTGTTGCTCTGGGGATGTGGAAGTCTGGAAAATGGAATGAAATTAGCCTTGTTGTTTCAAATGGGTTCTCAAAAATACGTGAACAGCCTGCTGTGAAACTCCACATCCAGATTCTTTCTTGCCTCTGAACGTTTTTCCAAGTTCAAGTTCTGTGCTATGGGGTTTTCTATGGATTTCGAATGCATTTCTACAGTTTCCTGGAAGCAAGCCAGGGTTTTATATGAAAAATATGCTGTTATTTTCATTACTCAGTATTTAAAATCTTTCTTGTCACCAGTTGTTGATGTTGTTGTTGTTGTTTTTAAATAAAACATAAATAGTAGAAACTGGTAAATGATTGAATATACTTTTGAAAAACGTGATTCTCACAGATTATGCTTTTATATAAGCCAAAATTTTGAGAAGGGAGTAGAGTCTATGGCTCTTTCCAAATTTCAGTAAGTGGAAAAAAAGAAAGTGCAAATACGAGAAGGAAATCTATTTCTTTAGCCACTGGGAAGATTTTTTGAGTTTTTACAATTCCCTGGTTGGGTGCTGTCGGTTGCTCCTGTGCTCAGTGCCTATGTTTTGACTTGTATCTTTGTGCCCTGGCCCCTAGGCTTTTACCAGGTGGAAACTTGCAATCAACATCTGTGAAATATGAGACGACACCCCCTCCTGTCCTCCTCCTTCCTTTCCTGCTCCAGTCATTTAAGTGTGCTTTTCTGCAGTGAATAGTTTTTGCCTTAATGAAGCTTGAAGGAATTAAATTCTTAGAAGGGGCTCTAGAGGAGGGGAGGCACATTCCCCAAGCTCAGTTTCCCAAGCTTTGCACTTTGCCCCGCATTCCCTCTTCTTAATACTGCATACTGCATCCTCAGTTATGCTCATGGTTTAGAGGAAGAAAAGCCAGCACCCGTTTATGTGGACATTCATGAGGAGGCCATAGTCCTTTCACCTGGATTTGATTAGTTCCCTTCCTGACCTCTCCTTCCGCTATATTTTTTCCATGACATACAAATCCTTCTTCCTCATATTAGATTTTTTCATGGGTGTGTCTTATTCCAAGGTAGAAAAAAGACACATTTGAATTTCTAGAGTTCCTGTACTCATTTATTAATAATGTTCCCTAAATTATCAGGCAGTACTTGATGAATTGCTAAGGACACGCCAAGATTGGAGATGAGCAATAGCATGTGTATTGTCTTGTTCAGTCCCTGGGTTCTCCTTATCAATACCTACATCTATTCAAGTATCTAATGATAAATTATAGAAATATGTGATGACCAATTTTGAAAGTCAAAAAGACGAAAGAGAAGTAAAGTGGTGGTAAACAAAAAGTAAGTGAAGAAAGACAAGATGAGGAGAGGAAGAAAGATGTTTACCTTCCTATACAGATCATTTCACTCCTTCAAAACACTCCGCTTAATGTTCAAATCTTGTCTTATGCCTGTGACAGTTAGGTATATTAATTTGCTTAAACTTTCTGAACCTCAGTTTCTATATCTTTAAAATGGGCAATCACTTAGTTCATCAGTATTGGAACAAAAATGAAAGGAAATAATATACATGAAGCATTTAGCTTATAGCATTGCCCTTAAAAGGTATAGTGTTAAAAATGTAAGCTTTATTATTTTCTTATGTATTTCTTAATAAGTCTTGAGTTAGACAAGAAAAATAATATTTACTAATTCTGTTTTACAGATAAGATAATTTAAACCAAGTGAACTGCTTAAGTTCAGAGAGCTGATAAGAAACAAAGGACAAATTAATACCCTGTTTTTTTCACACTTAATGCAATTTACATTACTATAATGACATCTTGAGAAAGACTCAACTCAATGTATACAAAATTATCAAATATCTTGGGAACTTTGTCTATGCAAACTGTTTTCAAAACCAACTACATTTGTATTTATCCAGGAAAGGTGAATAATTCTATTTACTTTTATGAGGTTTTGTTTTATAGTTTAAAAGCCTCATCTCTAAATCCCTAACATTTAACTAAACATTAGCTTATTTACAATTTGTATCTTGAATCAGATACTGAGCTACATTATATTATCACATCCATTCTAGAGTCACAGCAAAGTCATATGCAGTTGAATCACACAGAGGTCACAATGCTGTCACCGGAATCCAGGAGTCCTATATCTAACAGAGTGGAACAGTTTTTGAGGATAGAATCTATGCTTGTGCTGAGATGGCTTGAGCTCATGCTGGCTTGGGAATCTTTGAGAGTTAGGGTCCCTGAAACCTGGGCTGCCATAGAGATATGTGAAACATTCCAGTTCACAGCACATCTGCTGTCGAATCCACTTCAGTGGCATTCTCTGTGGACACGTCACTAAGGAACAGGGCAACTGTATTCTGCACATTGTCAAAATTCATTTCCAGGCACATCACTCCTCCTGATCTGCCACACACACAAGCAACTTAAACACAGTACCTGCATGTTAGGGTGTGAGGAATGCCAGATTTCAGAAAGGCCTCCAGATACCCTTTGATTTCCTAAGAGGTCCAGAAACAAGTGATTATCTTCACAGACCTGATGTGACTTGTTTATTCTTAGACTGATCCTTCAAAGTTAAGTCAGGGGGTGGAGTGGATTATCTGGAAGTATATTTATCAATCTAGTTGAGTTTCAGCCAAGAAAAACAGCTCAGGTAGAATTTAGGGAAGTTTGGATATTAGATGGCTTGAAACCAAATTTAGTGTAGGAAACTTTCTCCTTGGCTGTCTCTCTTTTCTATACACAGACCCATCAGCACTGTGTTCAATGCTTTGTACCTCCCCCCTCCACAGTTTTTGAGATATAGAATGTGGATACATGTTATCTCCTTTATAGATTTGTGTTAATGTTTAAGAAAAAGTTAAAACTTGAAGCATTTTAGAGCTGTTCTTGACACAACCCAGGCAACACATACGCTGCTATTACTTTTGTGAGTTGTGATGTTACAAATCTTGTCTAGGAAACATCAGCCCGAAACCCAGACCATATCCCTTCCAATATATTTTGTGTGTTAGAATTGAAGAAATCATCTAAGCCATAGCAGAATAGTCAGAGCAACAACTTTGAACACAAAAAAGCTAGTGCTTTCGAATCTACCTTTCATTGTTAAATAATAGGCTAGTTCTCTTGATGTCTAATATTTTAAACTGGTTTCCAAGTCTTGCTGAAATTGACCTGCAAAATTTGTAGTGATCTAGGAGTTTAAGAATCTCTGTTCTGAGTATTGGCACAGAAATGGGAACAAAGACTGACAGGATTAATAATGAATTAGTATAGGGAAAAGGTACAGAAATATGAAATTCTCTCTCTGCAGGTAAGAATTACATTTCCTAATTCTGTGACATTTTCAGGAATGGTCAAAAATATTCTTTTTATTTATTTCAATCAAGACATTTATTATTTCCATAATATTGATTACCAGTTGGTATTTTTGTAATAGGTCAAAATTTATTGAATATATAGTCTCCAAGCATGGCGCATGTCACTCTATAATATACAAGAAAATTTCCTGCAGCCTATCCATCAGTTGCTCAGAAGATACTGAGAGAACCACCACTTTAGAAAAAAGGTATTAAGATGAAGCACTGTGGAAGGCAGGAAGAAACTTAAAGTACATTGTGAAGAGGCTGGCATTACAGAATTTGCATCAGATAAGTGATAGAGAATAAATTACATATTTATAGGGTGACTTTAGACAACTTACAATGCACAATTCCTAGCCAAAGAATGATGTAATTAACAATAATTGTGTTAGCTAGGCAGAAGAGGAATTGGGGAGAGATCACCTTACAGAGACTGGTTAAGTAAGCGTTTATGGAAAACAATGTACAATTTGAACTGAATCCTGAGGGATAAAAGGAATGTGCATGGAATGAAAGGGGAGGGATGGGTTTTCATGCTGGTAAAATACTACACTAAAAAAAAACAGCGAAATGGAAAAGCAAGTCAACATGGCTTAAGTAAAGGCTTTCTTTCAAAATGTGTGATTCTTTATCATCCTTTAATATTCAATAACTGCTGTAGTATTCAACATGTGGAAGTCACACACACACACACACACATACACACACAAATGAATGTTCAATGTTCAGAGAAATTACTAAAAGGAGATAAGGAAATGAAGGCAGTTAAAATCTGCAAGGACTTGAAAATCTCACACAGGGCACTCACCTGTTTGTTGAGCCACTAATTTATTTGTTAACTGATGTGGACCAGATGCTTCCATGTGATCAAATATACTCCAATCAGGTGACAATACGACAATCTAGCAAAATGCATTTGGCAAATGAGATCTAGCAAGTGTATTCAGTGGTGCTAAAACTATTGTCAAGCAAACTATGATGTTATTGCCTTATTCTCGGTGTAATAAAAGCAATTTTTCAGACACATATGTGACAAAACATCCTTAAAGATATATCAAAGACACAGAAGAAAATGGACTATGTGCTAATGCCTCAGTAACAAGAAGATGGACATAGCTTGCGACAGAGATGAGTGCTTGGGATACTGATGTTTAACAATAAAAGTTTGAAATACCTACTTTGTGTCAGGCTCTGTGATACACTCTTTAAGTACATTATCTCAAATAAAACCCATAATTTACCTACTAGTGAAGTGTAAACAGAATCAATATTCTTAGCTGATTATTTGAAAGCACAGAGTTTATGAGTGAGGAAGTCATGT